AGTTGTTCTGTAAGAAGATGTTATACAGTACATTGTGACTCATATATATACCCAAACACATTGCAGTAGTTGACATTTGAAGGGAATATAGACATCTTTTGTAGCTTTGGTCAGGCCATCCAAGCAAATGCATCTGGATTCATGTCATCATTTAGCAAGAAGTACTTATGAAAACAGGGAATTTCTAGAATAGTTTTTCCCTCAAGCTGGATGGTTGTATGTTATCATCTATGAACTATTAAATATCCTGTCAAGAAAATCCATTATTCGATGATTTGAACTTTATTGGAGACTTTATTAAGACATTATTGGTATCATCTCAAAACAGTCCCAAGAAATAACTTTATCTACAACATTCAAATCTGTGTTGTAACTCATGACTTATGTAAAGGATTGTATGTACCCTACATTAAAAATATAATAAAAATAAGCCTTAGCTTAGCTTAGCCTCTAGCTTGTCCTGATATTGAACTGATTGTGCACCAGGCAAATAGACAGTCTGGCTGCCAAAGACACATCATAGGCAAACACTGCAGAATGAAAAGGAACAAGTAATAGTTTATTCCATGCTGAAAAAAAGAAGAAAGAGAACACAACGTTTCGGCCGTGGAGCCTTCACACTTGAAGAAAGCTCCCCGGCCGAAACGTTGTGTTCTCTTTCTTCTTTTTTTCAGCATGGAATAAACCTATTACTTGTTCCTTTGCAGCCTACGCATGCTGACGCAGCTACCCACCTGAACTACTACCGACTGCAGAATGAAGATGTAAGTCCAAAATGAAAGAGGCGGGCAGGAACAACAATCCCAGGTGAAGCCGAGCTAACTGCATTGCTGCTAAACACAGCCTGCCGGTTGGAAAAAGGGGGTCTGTTATATGGAAATAAATAATAAATAATACAGACTTAGAAGGGCAGCCCTCGGGATTGCCAGGGGAGTAGGTTGGCAAACTTGAGGGTCGATACAGCCGACATTAAAAAGAATAAGTGTGGACTAGAATCGGAGACCGCTGTGTCTGGCAATGTGGCAAGCAGGCTAGAAGCTAAGGCTGGTGCGCTGGCAATGCTGGAATTGAAGCTGCTGCACCAGGCAACTCTGAGAGCTGAGGCTGCTGCGCAGAGCTAAGCGATACCTTGAAGCTGAATTTTCTGCCAAAAACAGTCCACTGGTTGGAAACAGAGAGCCTCTGGTATGAGAGAAACCAAAGGGAGATCCTCCTGAAAAGGGAGCCAGAAGGATCTTAAGTTCTGGCTTGAGGCTACAGAGACTGCTGTGCATGTTGAAACACTGGCTTGTTGTGCCGGGCGACGCTGGACGTGAGGCTGGTGTGTGGGGCAATCCCAGAACTGAATATGGCTGCACAGAGGGAAGAGATACTGTAGCTTAAAGCCAAAACTGCTGAGCACAGCTAAGTGCTATCTTGAAGCCGAAATTTCTGCCAAACATAGTCCGCCGATCGGAAACAGAAAGCCTCAGGTATTGGTGAAATCAAATGGCAAGCCTCCTGAGAAGGGAGCCGGGTGGATTTGAAGCACTGACTTAAGGCAGAAAAACAGCCGCACAACCTTTGGGTCAGAAACAACAGGGAGCCTTGGCTACTGAGAAACCAAATAGCAAGCCTTCTGAAAAAGGGTACCAGCCAGGTTTGCAGGGAAGGCTTAAGGCTGCAGCTTCTGTGCAGAGTAAAGTGCTGTCTTGCTCAGTGGCGAAATGTGGAGAAATGTGGAGAGTGAAAACTGGTGCTAGTGAAAACTCGGTGTGAGAGAAAAAATGACTAAGTGCCATCAAAGTGGTGCCTCAGCATGAAATAGAAAACTGAGAATTAAATAATAAGCTAATTAACACAGATCACAAAAAACTGATCCGATCAGAGCAAACCCTGATGTGACGGTTTCCCAGGGCAACCACTACCGGAAGGAAGCCGTCATGACAGAAATTCACTACCTGACTACCCTACCGAAACAGGTGTTTATAATTTGCAATCACAAACCGGGTCCACCAAAATAATTATGTGCTTTGTTCATGTTATTTTGTGCCCCAGTAAAAGGTTTGATTACTTATTCATTCACAAGTTTTCTTTCATATTTTTTTTACCTCTTAATTTAATTATTGTTTTGAATTTCTTGCTTTGAATAGGTTTTTTATATATAAAATATTTTCTATTTCAAAGTGTCATAACTCATGAAAATGTGATAACTATGTAAGGCACTGCAAATAAACTCCTGACATCTATATGGTGAGAGGAGACTTTCTTCAAGTAGATACCACAATACAGGATTGGAAGAATCAAACCCAACTAGAAAATCATTGAATACAACACAGAGGATTTAAAAAAGATACTTGGCAAAGTCAGACCCCAGTAGACCTTCCATTTTGTAGCGTTCATAATTTAATCTACTTGCTTCCTTTTCAGTATGAATTTATAAATTCTAAAATGCAATCTATCCAAATACAATAATGATGGAGAGACAGGATCATAGAACTAAAAAAAAAATCAAGCAAAGTGAATTAATATTAAGGATTAATTAAGGATGGAGACATATATATATAATTGGGAGAATCCATCTGTTCAAGTAAGTGTCTAACTGTTGTGACTCCTTGACTTGGGTATGCTCTAACAGGATCTTTAAAAAATGCTGGCTCATGAAAACAGACACACAAACACAACAATAAGGTACAAAAAAGTTTGCTTTTATTTGCAGCGCAAATAACCAAAAACCAACCAAAACAAAAGCCTATCTCATTTTTATTTGTTAACTAGACTTTTTCTGTTCCCTTTCTATTCTCATTTGGCAGGTAAGCTGCTTAACTGTTTTCAAAACAACAAGAATCTTTTTGAGACTCTTCTCAGACTTCAGTCTCTCTTTCTCTGAGATGTTCACAAAACTCACAGTTCCTCTGTTCCTTGGTTGGTCACTTCCATCTTCCTTCACTCTGGTGACTTAACATCACAGAGGATCTGCTCTCTGTTCCTCATACACCAGATTAAAACCAACCCTAAAAACTTTTGTTTCCAGCTTTTTTAAACTGTCATGTGACCAATTGTCATCCAGTAACTGGAGAGTAGTTCATTTCCCAAAACCTTCTGGGTAATGTGATTCAGGCAAAAATCTCTTTTGTACTCGAACTTACTGCCCTCTTATACTGTTTAAAAAATATTATTAAAGTTGGTTACTGTAATAAAATTAAAAGGAGAGTAAACTCAATGCTGTAACCACTGAACCTTAAGTTAATGTAAGGACTACACAATTTTTCAAATTTAAAATTTTTCACACGTTTTCAAAGAGCACAAACCTCTCATTGCCCTTGGCCTACAATAAATAACCCTTAAAACTGTGTCCCATAATACCCATAGAGATGTAGAGATGCACTGACTTTTTGAAAAATGACAGTAACATTTTTATGTTGTTTTTTCTGATTTTGTTTTGGATATTTATTTGTAATGTGTGTACTGTGTAAGACATTTTCAAAATAAGAAAGTTCAGACTTGATGCCAAGGTGTTCCCATTAATTTAAGACCCTAACCAGGCTTGTACTGTGTACACTTAATAATTCAAGATTATTAAGGGTACATCCACCCCTGGTTGAAATGGCCCTTTTGTTGCTTTTGGAGGGCATGGGCTAATAGACAGAATATCAATCCACAGCTAGAATGTATAGTTAAAAAATAACTATGAAGTAAAAAATAAATATTAACATTGATTTCGCAGAAAGACAATAAAAACTGTCAGCCCTTTCCATAAAAAAAAGTTTTAAAATTTCTTTGTCACCTTTTTGAATTCAAGTATATGATGTTTATTGTTTTTAATGTGAACCTTGCAGGTGTACATGGGAAATGTAGTTAAATCAAGCATGTCACATATATCCCTAACTAACTGTAGCAAGAGATCGACTTGATTTGGCTTGATTTGATTTGATTAATTTGTATTTGAGTCTACAGAAAATGTTTCATGCTCTTGTGTATCTCTTTTTTTTTTCAGGTACTACTGCCAGCTATATATGTATACATATTATATGTATATCCATACATTAATATAGTGCTAATAGTGTTTGTAACATTATTATGCTTCATTCATTCCGTATGAATTTTCCATATTAAGTGGATTTAAAGAAGCAGTATGACGGATTAAATTAAGCTATCTTTTCACTAACATCTAAAGCACCACAAGTGCCACCTATTGATCTTCCTTGGGCAATGAAGCGTTAAATACAGAATGCTGAAATACACCACAGTATACTGCACTTTTCTTAAAACTAATGTGAGTTTTGATGCACATTCTAGATGGTCGCATCTGTAAAATAGTAGCCTCAATAAAAAAACAGTTCCATTAAATACAGTATTTGTCTTTGCAAATAAGCTAATTATAGGCTAATGTCAAGCTAATTGAATAATACACAACAAAATACTGTAAGTGTATTTACATATGCTTATAATGCATGCAGATATTGTATACATTTTGTGTGGTTCTTCTTTTCAATTTTTTCTTTTGAATTATTTCATTTTTTGGTCTCAAGTGTTTTTTAAAGGGCTTGTTTCATATTATTTTCACTGATCAATGAATTAAGAAAACATCTGAAGCATTAAGAAAATTCATATGGTATATATGTTTATTTCATTGATTTGAAAAAGGAAGTTGAAAGGAAATATTTTAACTTGGAATAACACAAAACAGTGCTTTAGTGTTAGGCACACAACTACTCCAGTCACTGCAACAGAATGGAATATACTGAGAAAATGATTTATAGGTTATGGGCACATCTCTTCGGTTTTATTATCTCTGAAAACAAATTAGTTTAGAGTGATTGCTTTAGACATCAAACATCACAGAGTCTATCTATCACTGAGGAGTCTTAACAAAGGCTCCCTTGCCTTCCATTTGCAAATTCTCACAGCATTCACATGGAAATCTCTACTATCCTGCAGCCTCTAACCTCCTCATCTTCAATTCTGTAGTTCCATCACTAACACTGCTTTGTGTGAGGGAGGATTTTTTTATTAATCAGGGACTGTGAATGGCAGCCAATCAGGAACAGAGCCCCCTCTGCTTCAGCCTTTCTGCTTTCCAGAGCTAAAAGTGATGCAGAGAGAGGCAGCTGGAGTTAGACACAACTGTAGTCAGTCTTGGAATCTAACTGCAGCTGAGAGTCAGCGGCTGAGCTGTGCTAAACACCAATGGAAAAAAATGTGTGAATTGAAAATGGCAATAAATGGGCACTGAAGGTAAGATAATTTAACCATTATGTTTCCAAATTAATGCAATATCCACAGGATATTCACTGTTTAGAATGATAGTATGACCATAATGTACAAGATAATCTTTACATATTTAATATGTACGGTATTTGCATTTCTGATGACTACCTTAGAAGTATATAAAGTCATTGGGGCTCAATTAAAGTTCCAAATATGAAAACTGAAAGCATTGGATCATAGTAATTACAGATTTGGCTTTATGAACTGTCAGTTGTTTCTCTTATGTAGTTGAAAATTGAAATAAACTAAATGAAAATATGTTTTCATTTGTAACTATACTATTTTGGATATTATGTTAAAAATAATTTTAGAAAGCATAATGTTTAAAACAGTTGCCAATGCATAAACTGTCCATATTTTATTGTGATTTCAAAGGGTCTCTAAGAAAGAAATATATTTAAGATGACAGAGTATCAGGTATGTTTTAGCACTAGTTCAAACTAATCTATCATATTGATGGAAATGCAATGTAGCACTTTGGAAAGACTACAAGACTGCAGAGACAAAGGACTATATTTCTACAGGTAGACTGATCATTTTTACAGTATTTAGTATGTCAAGCAGTTAAACAATCTTTGTAAAAATATACAAAATACAAAAGAAATTTAAAATTGCTTTACCTACGCATGAACCATTTTGTAGTTTGCATCTTTACTAAGTTTTATACTGCAGCACATAAGCCTCACTATTAATTTTAGTGTCATTGTATTGTTTCTAAAATAATTTTTGTCTATGACTATCAATTTCAAAAACGCAGAACACTGGCTAATTTTGTATATATTGAACAGTTCTTTAATCAAGAAATCACTCCAATACAAGGATTAGTGTTGTATTAATAATTATTATAAACAGCAATTATTAGTGCATGTTAATAAGTAGAGCCAAAAATGTATACTTAGTTTTTTGGTAAGTTTGATGAGACTTACAATTTTAAGTCTCAGTGTGTATTAAGAGTGTTTTTAGTTTATTCACCCTTTGTGCATTTGGGCACAAGGATACAGTTAACATAACATTTTTCACATACTTAATATTTCTGTTGCTTATGAATCTGAATTTTGATAAATAAGCTACAAGAAAATACTCTACAGCCAAATGTTTCTAATGCCTTTAAAAGCAGACAGATTTTTTGCCTCTCCAACATCATTGTATTGAAAGAAACTGTACCACGGGATGGATGGGAAAGTATAGTGCTATATCTTTAATCGATGATGCTGTATTGTGTGACTCTGGAGAATTATGTATTATTATAATGGCATATTGTTATACAGACAATCTTTCATATACATAAATTTAGGATGTATTTGGTTGCTGTATAAAAGGGTGAATGCGTAATACTATATTTACTGAAATTAAGCAAAAAAGGCTTTTGAAGTATTGTCAGAATTATAATGGCTTTTCAGCTAGAGCATCAATAATTACATCCTTTACCCTCTATGCAGCAATAGGAAGCTTTACACATGAGGGTAAATATCCTGAAAAATGTAGTTTTCTTTTTAACTAACATTAAATTTATTTCACTTGCCAGATAAAAAGAATGTGCAGTTATTTAAAATTGAATTAAAGACTATTTTACCAACCAGTTCCAGACATATTTAAACTCTAAACCTGTACATTTCTTTAAACTAAAAAAGTCAGTCTTTCAGAGCTTAAGAAAACAGACATTTTAAAGCAGTTTCATATTTCTTTCAATTTTCTTATACAACCAAGCCAAACTACCTAAAACCTGTATTTTTTCAATGAAAATTGTTTTTTCTTTTTTAGAATTATAGTTTGGATTAAATGCTGATGTGATAAATTTGTAGGTGTACAACACACTAAAACAAGCTACTCCAAATTCAAATTGACTATAATAAGTATAGTGTTAGTTACATTGATTTTTATGTCCTTTACATTTGATTTGGATTATATAAAAATAATTTATAATAACATTTTGCTTAATGAACTAGACAAATATCTAGATAGCCTTTTGTGTATGCTTCACAGAAACTCAGATTTAAAATGTATTATTTTAAAAGTGTACCTTTCAAACTTATTAAAGAAAAGGTTTACAAAGATTTCATTTTAGAAATATCTGGATTATGCTTCAAACTGTAACCATATTACAACTTAGAAGTCAAAGACTCCCAGGTTCAGACATTAAATGTTAAGCATCTTTGATCTATATCAAAGTTAAGTGAACATTACACAAATGCCTTAGATTAAAGTCCATCTGTAACTACAGTGATACTGGCAAAAAGGCATAACACAGATACTAGAAAGGTCTTGGGCTCCACCAAGTGGCAGATTTGTATTTAGACACAGGTGTACCATTTAAAAGTTGTATCTGTATTGCCAACTGCACCACAGACCTTGGAATGTGTGTGGTCAATCAATAGAAAATTGTGCATGGAATAGTAGAAGATAATGTTATTTTAAAAAAAAAATCATAATATTTCTTAGGTTCCTGTCATCATGAACATATTTAAAATGTAGTCTGCAGTGTGTTCTTCCAAACAACATTGCAAGTCCCATTGCAGGTCCATTATACAATTGACCTTTATCAGATCAAATTAATTAATTAAGATTATGGGAATAATCAACCCATTCCATATGAAAACAAACAAAAAAAAATCTTATTCACAACAATATTTCTATTACACTTTCCTAATGCAAATGCAGCTGCTTAATATAAGATGTACCTGCTTTTCTTTCTGATTTAAGTGTATTGTCATGGTAAATTCATAGAGGTTTTGAATCCAGTGTAAATCATTAACCTATTTTGAACTTAAATTCAACAAATTATATTATTAATTTGTTTATTCCATATTGAATATGCTTTCCGTTGTAATTGGACATACCTGCATACAAGATAAATCAGACAAATTAAAAAATAAAACTTGCAATTCATGGTTGAAATGTAACATGGAAACGTATTACAGTTACATGAGCTTTGCTGTCAAAGTAATGGTAAGCACAGGTCCCCTGCCATTATTTTATTAGAGAACTGTAATTTTTCTGTTAGTATCTTATGTGGAAATTAATTTTGAATTTTCAACTGTAAAACTATGGCTGCAGTTGCATTAGGCAAAAACCCAGAACTCAGAGGCAACATAAACTTAAGAGGAAAGACACAATGTTATGACAGAAGAAAGCTTTCGGGGCTGAAATATAAACAGTATCGAATACATACCCTAAACCAAATACTGTATTTCAAGTTCTTAATTTGGAATGCTGGTATCAGTTATTTAATTAAGTTAATTCTTTCTTTTAGTTTTCCTTTTATTTTTTAAATTAAAATAATTCACCTTTTATGTTAGTTATGATAGTTGAAAGGGATCACAATGGGACAATAGGGATAAGAACAAAGTAGGTATAGTAAATTTAAATATTGAAATCTTGTTACATGGAAAAGTCAAATTGCACTTGATATGTTCACTTTTCATATGTGCTTTAGATAACATAACATAATTGATCATTCACCTTTAATAAATAAATTACTAATTAAAGACAAATACCTCTTGACTGATTTTAATACTTCTCTCATTATAAACTGCTTGGATGATAACTCAGTGTTACTAGTGATACATTGAAAAATAAAACAGTTTTATTTACAGTGATGTATCACCAAGTGTAGATGTTACTATAATTGCAGTTCAAATGATTGACATATTTAAAAAAAAAACAATCTTTATTTTGCATTCATGTTTAAGTTTTCATTAAGGGTTTTTAACAAAAGTCTGTATACAGTAACTGCAATATCTTCATCACTGAATCAATAATTAAGAAATTGGAAATGTGTCTTTTGCCTGATGATCTTGATGTCCCTATACAGCAAATGGTTGACATTATCTTAAATATTATAAGCAAACAATACTAAAAGTAAATGGCATAAATAAATCACAGGATCCTTTGTATCCTTCAATTGTATTTTAATGTAGGGGTTAGTTACAAAGAGTAAAGTGTTCTTGAAAATTCTTTATTCTTTTAAAGGTGTTACAATTAGTAACTACATGTTGGTGTGGGTTAGAACTTTTTATATGTATCTTTGCCCCCCAAATATCACAAGAACATTTGTCTTAAGTGTTGTGTTCTGCATTGTATTACATACAAAATAGGATATTTTAGTAAAAACTAAAGAAAAGCAAAATTGTACTGTGAAGTTAAAAAACCTACAGTAGGGATCCATTATTCAAAAGTAAATAAGTGTTTTCAATCTAGTGTCTAATGAATCTATTAATGTATTTTGGGGGATCAGCAATTATATCCAAGATTGGCAAGTGATTTTTTTAAGACTTCCTCAAATGTTTTACATGCAGGAAAAACATAAAGTACCCCCACTGTTTTTTATTGTTCTAGATAAACATGCAAAAAGAAGGTTACATTGAAGTATTATTATTAATTTGTTTTCATCTACGTCATTGTCATACAGTACAAGCATCACTGCTAGTCAGGATTCTGTTCTTTGTGGACAGCAGTGCATGTTTGTAAGATGTAGAAGTAATAAAGAGCAAATTCAAAAAGCTATTGTGTCTGTAAGGGATTTAACAACATTTAGAACAACAGCTATGACTATTTAACAGAAATATGATTTTATACCACTGAAACAGCAAGGCTTATTAAAAATACAGGAATTAAGTTTGCTGCTCCCTTGCCAGTCTATCTCCCTCATCTCAGTGGTGCTAGATACAGAGAGGCCATTCCATTTGGTTCACATTTAAGGTGTTTTTCTAGCTGATAGAGTTTACTGATAAGGAACAACTCCTAAGGCTGAGATTCTCCAGCCACCCTAATAAATGGTCATCTCTTGCGCCTTACTGTCTGGGAGATTCCTTGGGAGAATTGCATCCCAGGTTGTTTACAACCCTAATGTCAGAGAGCATGGTTACTCATCCTCTACCTCGATCAGCCAATCAGGAACAGGGTAACCCCACGTGGGTCTCGAATGCCCTCAGAACATTCAACCAATGAATAACCGTAGATCCTCTAGA